ACCAGTAATAGATGATGATAATTAAGCAATTCATAAGTAATTATTTATCTCTTTAATTATAGTTATTTCTAGAATTTTCTGTAAATATATAATACAAGGAAATTTTTGAAAAATACCTGAAATACAAGGAAAATATAAATATAGATATAAGGAAACTTTAAAACCTGAACAATAATTTTCAAATTTCAGGTTTTAAAATTTTATTCAAAACTGAAATGATCTTGTATAAATATCAGCATATATATGAACATATTTTTTGCATATCAAATAACTACAAAAACTATGAGTTGGTGAATGATATGGAATAGTGCCAATCAGTTAGAAATGTCCTTGATAGAAGAAAATGATAAGAACATTATTAACTACATTTATCAAAATTTATGCTAGAAAAGTTTTATAGCGAGATAATAATATAACTTGAAGGACAGGAAAAATATTTCAAGCTGTACATCAACCAATGCTGAATATTATCAGGCTAGAAACTGCTATAATAATAATAATTTATAAGACAATTTGGCACTAGAGTTAGGCGTTAGGCACCATCTCTTGATAAATTTTAATAATTATAATTTTAACCTGTTAGTCCTAAGAAAGATTTAATTTCTCATTTGTTTACTGATCTGGAGGAATTCTAGAATACATTTGGTTTTATCCAGATTGGGTTTTATACCGTCCTTCGACATTTCATGCCCTAGGAATTTTATCTTGTGTTGAAACGACATTTTCAGGGTTTTAACTTTATACCTGTGCTAGCTAAATGCTTAAAGATTTGTTCTAAGTGTTCGAGGTGACTAGGAAAGTCAGGACTGAATGTCAAGACATCATCCATGTAAACTAGACATGTTTTGCTTTTGAGTCCATGTAATATGAAGTCCATTTTGTTCTTTCAAATACTGCACATGATGTTTTAAGCCCATAGGGATCCCATTCCATTGATAGTGTCAATTGGTTAGAGAAGGCAGTCTTCTCCTTATCACCCACACCTAATTGCCAAAACCCTGAGACTGTATCCATGGTGAAGTGTTTCACCTCTCCCATCAAGCTAAGTGGTTCCTGCACTAGAGGTAGTGGATATGGATCTATCTTTGTGATTTTGTTTAATTTACAGTAATCTATTACGGATCTTAGTCCCCGTCTTTCTTGTTTATTAGCAATGCAGGTGAATTCCAAGGGAAAGTTGAATGTTCTAACAACCCATCAACTATCTCATTATTGCCTCTGCGCATAAGGAATTCTATATGAAGGGGAGTAAATGGGTGCTGCATCACTTATATTAATTTCATGTTGCACTAGGTCACAATAACCTAAATCATAATCATTAAGAGCAAAGACATGCCTATACTTATATAATAGGGTGGAAAATGCCTCCTTTCACTTCTTCCTATCCCTGTCCAATCAAAAAGTTGCATGTTTGACCTAGTTATAATCTATTTCTCTTTCTGCTGACCTTTCTGTTTGCTTGTATATTCCTTTCGGTGGTAAGCGGTTCATTACCCATGTGGCTTGCAGACCTAGCTAAGTTGAGGAAGGGTATCTTAGTTTGCGTGGGGTATTGTCAATTTTCCATTCTGGAAGTATAGGTGAAATCACTTTTCTAGGATCATCTCTCCCCCAATTATATTGTCACATGGATATAATTGGGATCCACGAGACAACATACAAATGGAATTGTAAGCCTCTGATCTGGAAAGTAGGACTTAAGATACCATAGGTTTGTATGTGATGTCCCTTAGCACTTCTTATCTGTCTCCTTCTGATAATCTATCTCTACCGTTTCTTGTAATTGCTCAGCAAATGCCTTAGATAAAAGGGACACCTTTGCTCTAGTGTCTGTTTGTATGGTGGCCGGAATCCCTTTTATATAACATGAAAAGGTTGCTTCACTATGCATGGGCATATACTTGACCCTTTTGCTGGATGAATCTCTTCAATTTCCAGGACGATATGATTGATTTTGCTGTAGATAGGGTTCCTGAATTGTGCTTGGCTTTCCCTTAATTTTCAGGAAAGGGAGAGTGTAACCTCGTCTAGATTTATAATGGGATTGTTGCCTTCAACACTTCTAACATTGCCTCGCCATCTATCTCTAATTTCAGGTTCTTGTCATCTAAATTGGACCCAGGTTTTATCTGTTTGTTGATCATTTCTAACGTTTTCCCTTATGCGAGAGTTATTTCTCGGCTGGGTCAGACGATCGTTTCTGTTTGTTGGCTGCCATGGAAGGAAGTGCTGATTTTGGTTGACTGGACCAGTCGGTTTATTCATTAGACGATCAGGAGAGCTCAGCCAATGTTCGCTTTGTCGGAAATTCGGATTTTGTTTATTATCCCGTCTAATTCGCTCATTATTCTGACCTCCTCCTCAATTCTGGGGTAGCTCATTATTCTGACCTCCTCCTCGATTCTTGTTATGCTGTCCATTCATGTCTTAAGGTCTTCTATTGTGTCTTCTAATTTTGCCCAATTATCCTGTGGTTCCTCCGACTGCTCGGAGACATCCTTAACCATCCTCATAATCCTGTGAGAATGGGCGGTAAGATTTTTGATCATTTCTTTATTGATCGCCACCTGTAAAGCCTCATCAAATGTCGTATGCTCCCTAGACATCACCCTCTGTCGTATCTTAATGTCAAGCTTGTTTTTAAAAATTGGACTTTCAGTCGCTCATCTTGAACCCTCTGAATTATAGCTGCCTTTGCATCATCTGCTCCTACTTGCTTTATCTTTATTTCTGTAGCCCATGACTGCAACCAGATGGCATACGTTTGTACGTCCTCTCCTCTCACTGTATGCACGCATAAAACCTATTTACTTTACTTTAAAAGAATACAGTACACGTTCAAATCTCTCCATCATTATTTTCTTGAAAGTATCAAAATCTTCCACATCCTTTATTTTCTATCTTTATGCACGAATTCTCTGATTATTCCCGTAAGCTTGAGCTTTGCCATGGCCAACATCTGGGCCTTTAGACCAAATCGCTATCTTGGTAATATCTGCAAGTGACTTGAAAAAATCCATGACCCGAGGACCTGCTGGGTCGCCCGTAAACACTGGCAATAATGGGATCATTCCGCCAAGGTAATTGGGTTTCCTGCCAAAGTTGTATGAGGGGGAGTTCACCTTTTGTCATATCTGTTCTGTTTATTCTAATTCTACCTTAAAATTAACACGATGAGTGTCATAGTACCGTTGATTTGATCCTATCAAATACCCACTCCTGAAAAACCAACTTTGAGAACTGAGGTGTAGAGTGGTGAGCTCCCGAATTTCACTTTAGCGGCAACGGGATAATGAATTCTGTTCACGGCGTCAATGGATGGTGTGAATTTCTGCGAGTGAAAGGATTAGTGAGGTCATTGAGAAGGTGTCGGCAATACACAAATGATAACACTCAGTTAAACATAAGCGTAATATATTTAATATAGCATGAGCATACAAAAAGGAACACAATTAAACGATACATTCAATAGATGCATAACAAGACTATCATGTTATGGTAATCCGACATTAACAGAAGTGAAATAAATCAAAGACAAGTCTGTCCAAGAGGGATCACCATTTATTTTGCATTTCAGACTACACATACACATTAATGGCGACAGGCCTTCCTTTTTAGGCTTCATGCCGCCAAAACGTAAAAAAAGTCCTTTAAAAAACACAAACATCCAATTAAAAGTAAAAAGAATCGGTGACACACAGACGTCTTACTGCTCATCCATCTGGCCAATGGGTGGTTCTGCTTTATATCTACTAGAAAAGGCACTGGAAGATGTAGATTTTGAAGCTGCCCCTTGGCGACGGTACATTTAAAAATTTTTTTTTGTTGAATTTTTCCATCTGAAATGCAAAATAAATGGTGATCCCTCTTGGACAGACTTGTCTTTGATTTATTTAATAATAATCCAGCCATCGGACAAAAAAATTCAACAACAAAAAAAAAAAATTAACAGGAATCTCGTTTGAAGTAAGCAGGTTGAGTAATTCTTACGGCTAATTAGTTTTGTTAACGCAGGTCTAATTTACAATTTAACTTTAACCAAGAGAGAGAGTTTACATAACCTTCAAGTAAATACCTCTATGCTTCTTTGGTAAGGCGATGCAGTCCTAAATGATTCCACAGTAGGGGAATAGAGGTCTGTAGTGGTGTTGTTGTACAGGAGGTTTCTTTCAGACGACTGCCCCGGTGTTCAGATGCGGTCCCTTTTATGTGTGTCCCACGTGAGAATGGTCTGGGAAATTTTGTTTTAATGTGTTCTAAGTTGATTTGGGTCTGGGTTTTTGCTGATACGGGCTGTCAAGAATCAGACATTTCAACAAATTAGTGACACCTTCTATCCGGCATTGTTACTTATCTTATATAAATTTAAAATAATAGATTTTACAAAGTACAGTACTTGAAAAATACAAATTAAAAAATTCCTATTTCAATATGTTAAAATAATAAAAATAACTTACCTTTTTGCAAATATAAGTTTGTTATTTAAGAAATTTCATCTTATGTCACAGAATAATATAAAAATAAGTAATTTTAAATCCAAAAGTAATTTTAATTAGAAAGTATGGTTTGTAGAGTTTTATATTTTTCTAATTGCAAAAGTTTGTCACAAAAAATTTTATTTAATTTCTATAAAAAGAAAGTTTCAAAAGAACATTTATTCTGCATTTTTTGTTAGATCTATGCATATCTATTGTGATGATACTATATATAGTATTATATATTATATAATTATAATTATATAATTACTTTATATATATATAAAGTAATTATATAATTATAATTATATAATATATAATACTATATATAGTATCATCACAATAGATATGCATAGATCTAACAAAAAATGCAGAATAAATGTTCTTTTGAAACTTTCTTTTTATAGAAATTAAATAAAATTTTTTGTGACAAACTTTTGCAATTAGAAAAATATAAAACTCTACAAACCATNAACCTTTTTAACAATTAATTAAAAATTTTTTTATACTTTTTAATTTATATAGAGAAGCTCCAGTTCAACGCCATTTGAAAAACGTATACAGTTGTTTGGCAATATCTACATTAGCAGCTGCTGCAGGAGGATATGTTCACGTTTTCACTGATATTTTGCGGGTAAATAACTTTTTTAAACTTTGTTTAATTCGTATGTATAGACCAGTTTGTTGACTGATTTGCCATAAGTAAAGTGAAACATTTTACTTTAATTTTTAACTTAATAATTAACAACTAAAAGACTAATAATAATGTTACAAATGTCAGCTCAGCTGATACAAGTGCTATGTGCTATGCCAGACTAAAGTCAATGCATATCAAACAAGCATAACAAGCTTCTATATTGTTGGTATGTGTGACCATGTCTAGAAATTTCCTAACAGTATGATATGTCCAATATTGTAGCTTTCTGTAGTGTCATGTATGTGGTGTTGTTATGGTTTTACATTTCTTGATCTTTGTGTAGTGTATTTGGTAAGACACCAATGGAAGAGAGGACAATAAGCACCCTATCCATCTTACATGGCTTATTTTTTGGGAGAGTTGAGTGTACTTGTTAGCTTTTTTCAGTATGTATTTTTTGTCATGAGGTTTGTTTGGAATGGTGATTCCTATTATATAAGTGATGATATTCAATTTGTCAATGATATTAGTTGTTGTTGTTGTTGTTGTTGTTAAAAAATATACAGTCGACCCTATAAGACGGTAGATACGTTCCGGTTTTTATGAAATTGTTTTAGGATGACCTTGCCAATCACAGCCCGACACGTGTGAAGTTTATAGACTATGGCTGTTTGAAAGGTTTTCTTCCATAAAATTAATCGATTCCTAGACTAATTCGACTCAACATTTCCAAAACACGTATATTTTTTTGGGAATAATCCGTATAAACTATTCTATAAACAAAAAATTGTAGGATTACTTACCGAGTGTGCACCGTTCGACATCACCATTGCTTAAGTTGTTTTCGTTGCGGAGCAGCGCACCAAATGGCGGGCGCGATTTCTGATAAGTTATTTTTCTGCGAAAACTTCGTTGAACTTTGGAGACATCATTAATATAAATAATTTTTATGGCCGTTGAATAAGAAATGTTTCTTTCACAATAAATGTATAAAATTAGTGCTGTATTAGGCTTACGGTATCTAATTTACATACTGTACATATGATAGTAAACTCAACTTACTTGCCTAAACTCTCCGTAGCGTGACGCCGGACGGCGGAAAGTATATATATATAATTATAATAAAGTTACAATAAATTAATATATAATTATATAAACAGTAGACTCCCCTATAACGCGGTTTCCTATAACGGAGATTCCTATAATGTGGCGAAAAAATTGCGACAATATTCATATAAAGACGCTAAAAGGGACGCGTAAAACGCGGTAAAATGTCATCGCCAACTCGTCATCGCGGACGAGCAGCTGAACTACTTTCTGCCATTCAGCGCCACGCTACAGAGAGTTTAGGCGGGTAAATTGAGTTTACTATCGTCTGTACAGTATTATATATAAATTAGGTACATGTGTATAATTTTATTTAGAAGTCACATTTTATAATGATGACATTTGTAGGTTTGCATCTTGATAAGTGAGTAAATCTCACAAATATAAGTTACGCATGGTGTTGCTGAGCCATGCAATCTTCCATAAAAAGTTTTACAAAACTTAGGGTAAGTCGCCTTAGGATTATTTTAACTTCAATTTTATTGAAAACGTTTGGTAAGTGCATTTCTCTCTTGTTCATAAGCCTTGGTATGAACAAGGGAGAAATGGAATTGCTTGAAATCCCTGAGGACACATCATAACTTCCCTTTGTTAGAGTTTATTGCAAAAATAACTAAAATGCAAATTCAGATATTAAGTACACTCAAGTGAGGCAAATAAGAGCCTACAGTAAAATGTTATTTTACCTAGTCATGTTATAAGAGCCTACAGTCATTTTAAAAATTTACAAGAAAATTTCTTGTAAATTTTTAAAATGAAATTATCATCCTGGCTATTTAATAGTTTTTACTAATTTTATTAATATTAATTTAATTACTTAATTGTATTTGTTAATTTGGTTATTGGGAAACATGAAAGAGTTAAATATTTTAACTTAAATCTTATTTTTTCTTTAGTTAAATTAGTTAAAGTATTGACCTTTTTAGCAGAGAGGGAACAAAAGAGGCACGACCTTGTCAATTGGACCCATATGGGGTCAGGTAATACCACTTGTAAAGTGTTGACTTGTAAAAAGAGGGAAAACAAAGGAAGTGCTGACTTTGTCAATTAGACCCACCTGTGATCAGACGATAGACCATTTGCCATATGGTAAATAACTAAATGTAAACAAGCAGCGGACGTTACTGTAAGATTGATTCTTGTAGGATAACAGTGGACCTAGGTTAAAGCTGTTCGAGCAAGAAAGATTTGTGATTGGTCGGAAGTCCCCGTCCAAAAAACCCTTAAATTGCGGGGTGAGAGGGGAGAGAAGGGCAAGAGATTGGTACATGGTAGTCTCAGGCAATTGGTGTACCCGCTGAGCGTAGGGAGAGTGTTCTCCTCTGGTAAGCATCTCAGGGACGGGTTAGTATGGAGACTGGACGGACTGTGCAGTTGAGCCAACTCCACAAGCTGACTGAGGCCTCTCCAAAGTTTTAATAGAGAAACTACTTTTACCAAAAGATTACAATGTCTCATCTGCTGAATTCCATTCTTTAGCATTTAGTTGGGCTGCAATTTTCAAATTGCAGATCTATACATTTTCACTGTTGTTTGTCTGCCCATGTCTTCTGACCTTCATTAATCTTGAGAATGAAGTTAGATAGATGAAAATTGAGACAAGATATGGAAAGCTTAGGGATTGGAGGCCCTGATTAACTCTATAAAAACTTCTGGTCTGGACTGGAAGTCGTGATTTTTAAGCTAAAATGTGATAAAAAATTGCAGTCCAGCATTGTGACAATGTCACAATGCTGGGCTGCAATTGAATGCAAAGTAAAAAAAAATTATCTTAGTCACAATAAGATGATTTTTTTTAGTTGTCATCATATGTTTTTGATCAATTCAAAAAATTTAATATTTATCTGTAATAGTACAAATACATAAATACATTTTGAACCTAATATATATATTATTATTTATATATATATTTAACCTAATTAACCTATTTAACCTAATATATGCATTAGATTAAATATATATATATAATAGGTAAAATTGTGTGCACGAAGTGAAATTTTTAGTTGGAATAAGGATGTATAAATCAATCATTATAACATAATATTTAGATTTAATTAATTCTAAATACACATTAAGATTCTTTATAAAATGAAGCTGAACATGTTGAGATAGATTTAAGATTATTTTTAGTTGCTTTTTAGCATTTTGAGTTTAACTACTGAACGTTGTTCTTTTATTTATTAATATATTGCCATATTATTACTTATAAATTGGTCTTACAAAATTTTTAATTAAATTAAAATATTTAATTGTTATTTAATTAACAATTTACTTAAATATTGTTAATTGTAAAATCAAATATTCATTACATGATAAATTATAGTAATGTAATTAATGTTTGTAGTATTAAACTAAATATCTTTCATTAAAATACATTAAAAAAATAATAATAAGCAAGAAAATAGTTTTAAAAGTTTGTTTATCCAATAGGGCAATTTCTTGACATCATTAGTAGCCTTAGGGCTAATGGTTGCTCTTGACATTATTCCATATGATGGAGGAAAGAACAATTCCCTGAGGCTTGGTTTATTAACTGCCTTCAGTTTTGCAACAGGTAAGGACTTTGGAATTTCTTTATTAAAAACTCAGACGATTAGAATAATAATAAAATAATACCATAATTTTTTTCTATTCTTATTCTATCACTTCTTTTTATTTAAATTACTTTGTATCATCCTCAAATCTTGCAACTCAAATTTCATCCACTTGTAATCAAAATAAAAGGTATGTCTTCAAAGTTTCAGACTAAGTCCAATGACTATCTATTTTAATGTTTTATGGGGTGGATCCACCACAACCATTTTCCCACTCAATGAATCTAACCAAATGTAAAGTATAGTGCATGTGTGTGAAATTAATCACAGAAATCCCTTTATAAACATGGCAGAAATTTTAATTAATTTGACTTTACCAGCTTCTATACTTAACATAGATACTATATTTGATTAATGCAATTTTGATATATGCGGTAGCATTGAGAGATAAATTAACTGCATTAATCAAGGAACACTTGTAAATTTACCAATTTTTCTTTCTTCAACTAATAAATAGAGTAATTTTGTTTCAGTAATTTTATTATTTTTAGTTATCATTTTATAAAGGAATGCTATGGTTGAATAGAGATAATACCTAGACTCTTTGCTTGTTATTATGGTTAAGTAGATATGCCAGATTCATCACTTTTATCTTGGAGGAGACAAGAAAATGAACTTGTCAAAGACTTTGTTAAATAAGTTTATAAACTATATAATCAGATGAATAATTTTTTAACGTTATGTGAGTTTAAATAATTTTTGCAATTCTTTTCACCATAACTTTTTGCAGAAAATAGTATATTGAATTTACTGATTTGTAATTTTAGTAATATAGTATAGTCTTAAATTAAAGCAATAATTTAATACGAAACAATATTATTTTTATATATACAATGGAATGTTGTTTTTATAACAACTTGAGGGGACCATCAAAATTGTTGTGTTTATAATGAAATATGTATAGAAATTTATCATCAAGCAAGTTAAATATCTAAATACAGTAGAACCCCTCTAATCCCTCACCTTTGGGACTGGGGGTATGGGTCAGAACACAGAAAAGGTCGGATTATCAGAAAAAAGTAAAATAAACAATCTTCCCCTTTGTCCAGTCTTTGTAGCACTGCTAATTTTTCATTTAATGAAAGAGTAACGTGTTTATGTTTCATTCCTGACATGTTGAAAACACACACAAATTGTGTGTACATGTACAAAACTGTACATGTACACACAATGTAAAACATATACTGTAACGAACACAGAAAAACGCCACGGACAGTGAGTCACCAATGAGTCGGGACAAGTTTCTCGACTCTGACCACGGTTGGATTAACCAGAGTGATGGACTAGCTGAGGGCGGACTAGAGGGGTTCGACTGTATTAAGACCATGTATGCAATGATGATGTTGTATATGTTAATTATACAGATGTCACTGAAGGACATCCATTGTGAAACATCTTACCTTTGTATCTTAAGTGAAGAATAAGGTAGACAAATAACAAAATTAAAATAAACAAATGTCATAAATGTGATGTTAGGATGGTCAACTTGTGGCTCTTATTGGGGTTAGTACACCTGCAATTTGTATGTGATTGCTTCTGAGTTGTTTACCAATTGGATGATAATGGCAAAGAAAAGGGAAAGAAGTTGTAACAAAATTTATTACAGTAAAGTGAAAAATACATAAATTGCATTACCTTGGAACTAACAGAAAAGGTGTATTTATAACTGAAAAGTTTGTTATAAATATGTTTGTACAACTGAAAAAATTTTGTCATGGATTCCTATGGAGATTGGGTTGTGGAAAATCTAAAATTTTGTTCTGAAAAGTTCATTATTACGAGGTTTATTATAATGAGATTCCACTATAAATTTATTTTTATTTTTTACACTTCTTTTATAACAAAAAAATTTTTCATAATTATTTTATTTATTTTGTATATTTTCTCTTTTCTTTTTGTTAGTTTTAATTAATGTGCTGTACTGATAATTTCTGTTAAATATATACACAATTCTACAAAAAGTAAAATTCAATGCCTTTATTTGCAAAATGGATTGGATGTTAATTGTATTTTGCAAATTACATATGCCTAAACTGTGCAATGCAGAACATGGAATCTCAGAGATGTCAGCCAATCTCATAATGTCATCAATATTTTCATGCGACTTACAATTAATATGCCTCAATCCTAGGAACTTGGAGTGTGAACATGGTATTATCATTGGTTGTCACATTTAGTGATCTGTCTGCCTATTTCTGCTAAAACAAATGTTGCCAGATCAACAGTGGGGTTTGTAATTACCAAATGGAGGGTAGAGAAAGAAGTGTCATCTGGTTCTTGATTTGTCTGCCATGCAACTATTAGACCAAATGAGACAAATGACCATGGCTAGGAACATGTAGAGAGTATAAAGGAGACTAAAACTAGTGCCCGTATCAATACTACATGACGAAAACTGCATGATCTTGGATGCCTTGGCTGTCTGCCACTTAAAAATCATCCATCATGAAATCAAATGCATCACATCATTTGAGGTGATGCATTTGGCTTGACCATCCAATGAAAATATCCTGTACTTTTGTGAGGATAATTTATATGGTAAATTGAGATATTTATATACCAATATACAAAATTGTCTTAACTGTATACCTTATCTAAAGATAATATGCATTTTTAACATAAACTCCAAAAAAATGATATCTATTAATTAAAATTTTTGTGGTTTGATAAAGAATTTTTGAATTTAATTAATTAATGATGATAATTTTACATCATTTATCCCTGTCTTATTCTTTAATTTTAAATCAGTTTACTTAGACTGTAATATGAAATGTTAAAATAATTGGATTCAAACATTTAAAAAATTTATTTTGTTTTAGGCTTAGGTCTTGGTCCACTTCTTGATGTTGCCATTGTTGTGAATCCTGCAATAATCCCAACAGCATTTTTAACAACTTGTTTGATATTTGTATGTTTCACTCTTTGTGCATTGTACAGTGATCAGTACAAATGGATTGGCTTAGGTGGTAAGTAATACTATAGTTGATTCAACTTCTATTAATATATATATATATCTTTTATTTAAATTATATTCNTTGCATTTGTGTTGTCTTTCATTCCATGAAGGTGATTTTTTAATTTTAAAAGTGATTTTATAAGAAATTGTGTTTATAAATTTAGAAGTAATCATAAAATATTACACCTAATCTTTTAAATATTTTAAATTAAATCAGTTATAAAATTCAATCTTGTAATATGAGATAAATTAGCCTTTGAAATTTACTACACTATTTTTTATTTTCAACTTATTTTGTTTGTGACTTCAATACAGATAATTACTAAATTTACCTTGAAATTAGGAACATCAAGTGACTTTATTGTGCAAAATTGCAACTTGCAACTAACCTTCAATAAAAATTTGTATCATTTATCACTTATCAGCCAAATGTAAACATAAATACATATTTTTGATTATAGTTTAAAAAAATGTTTATTATGGCAAAAAATCTATAGAATACAACTTTTTCATATCTAAAGTTCATCTGAAAAAATTTACTAATAAAGAAAATGTTTTTCTCCTAAATTTTAAGTTCTCTATATTTCTGGCAATGTAATTTTTCCATATAAAGTTCTGATTTTTAATTTTTAAATAAGTTATTCAAGTTAATGTAAAAGAAACAGGATTTTGATGTTTTTTAAAAATATATTATTATTGAAATGTACTGCATTTATAATTTTATTTTGAGTGTTTAACAAAATAAATGACAAGAAACTTCAAAAATTTTAAAGTTAAATCAGCAAGTTTGATGCCTTCTGGATGTAATTTTGGTGTATCTTGAAAATTTCTATTTAGAAAAAAAGAAAAAATTTATTTTGTTAAAAGTATTACTATTAATCTATTGGTTTGTATTTATTATACAATATTAATACAGTTGTATTATTATTACACAATAACATTGTAATTGAATTTTACATTTTATTTATTTTTGGATGGAATCAAAAGTGTGGTTTGTTTGTTCATTTATTTATATATATTGATTCTGAAATTCAATTAAGGTATTATTTATTTTCTTTCAATTTCAGATATATACTTTTAGATTTTATTAATGAAATTGCTGACTTTTGTTAATCTTTAAGAAGTTTAATTTTAATGTATTGTAAAATGAAGGTTAAGCTTCCTTAACAGATACCATACATACACACTAGTGATGTTCAGTTTGAGTTCTATTTATATAAATTTTCAATTGAAATTATACTAATATAAGTATAAATTGTTGATAATTTTTCATTTCTCTTGCAAATTAAAATGAAAGGCTATGAAGTAATTTATGTTAATTTGTTTGAAAAAATTCATGTTAATATACCTCCCATATAAAAAAAAAAAATATAAATGTCTTGAAGATGATTTCCTGTGAAAGTTTCATTTTCGTAATAATATTTTGTATAACTGTTATGTAAACTGAGCATCACCTGTATTAATAAAATTATATTATTACTTTTATGTATTTATATATTTCAATATTTTAAAAGAAAACTAAATAAATTTAGGTACACTTATGTCTGGATTACTTTTGACATTGCTTCTTGGATTTGCTACTATTTTCACTGGCTCCAGATTCCTGTTTCAGGTAACATATTTTCTGTAGAAAATATTTTCCTCTTATTTAAATTCAGTATACATAAATGAAAATGATAAAATTAAATTCTTTTACACCACACTAATTTTATTATTTATATAGTAGCCTCTCATTATATTGCACTTGTTGGGAGATAAAGAAAAAGCACAATGTATCCAGCAGCGAAATATAACCAAATACAGTAGAGCATTGATTATCCAAAACAATTTGTGACTGTGGGGTGGTTTGGATAACTGATCATGTATGAAAAAATATATTAATCTATCCCATGTTAAAATTTTTCTGTTGTGTGTCGCTTTGCATTGAATTTTTGTCGATGTTAAGCCTAACAAAAATTTTTAAAAAATAATAATCGTGGCTATTGTATCATTAAAAATTATATTTGTCTGTATGACAATCATAAATCATCGTTTTATCTCAATGAAGTTTTGTTACAAATTTACAGCATTTTTTATTGGCTTAAATAAAGAGAAAAATATTTTATGAATGAACTATCAGAAATAAAACATTCTTCGAATTTACGCTTACCACAGAACTAGTTAGATTTAAATACACTAAACTGTAGTAAAACGTGCCACGTAATGTCAAGTAAATTTTGTTTAATTAAGTTGGACCGTCCTTTAATTTTGCTGAAAACTTATAATTATCTAGGGTCAAAACACTAGTTAATTTTAACAGATTTATTATATTAATTCATATAATTCTAAATTTAATATTAATTCTCATATTAATTCTAAAGTGTTCATTTCACTTTAATTTACATTTGTAAATTACTTTAGACAGTATATTTCTTTCAATTCATCCCTTATTATATAGTATGAAACAATCTTAAGAGTGTAACAATTAATTTGAGATAAAAATTAGAGAAAAAAAATTCATAAATGTTAATTTTTGCCAATTATAGCTGTAGATGGTCATACAAATTATCATTTTTTCACTGTAATTTATTGTTTAATAAATAAAAAAAATTTTAATAATATTTTAATAATTCAATTAAAACTTAAGTGATCAAAGCTGATGGCTTGTAATTAATTTAACAACATTTGTATCAACTTTTCTATTTTATTCTTTTACGATTCGTATAAATAATTCAATGTGTTCTTAAATGAATTACTCAATAAGCATAAAGGATA